GACTCCACCTCCACAAAAAAGTTAAAAAATTAGCCAGGTATGGTGGTGCATGCCTGTAGTCCCAGCTACTCAGGAGGCTGAGGTGGGAAGATTGCTTGAGCCCAGGATGGTTCAGCCTGCAATGAGCCATGATGGTGCCGCTGCACTCCAGCCAGGGAGACAGAGCAAGACCCTGCCTCTAAAAACAAAATAAAATAAATATGAGTTTTTGTTGCTTTGTGCTGTGTTGGTTTTGGTGAAACTGAAGACTTTTAGGGAATGTAGTATTAATGTAGTACCTATCCAATTGCTGACTAGATTATGGTTTGAAATACTGGTAGTGTTTTCATTCAATGGTATTAAATAAACTTCATTTTAAAAGAAATTAGTATAAACGAGGCACAGAAAGACACATACCACATGATCTCACATTTGTGGAATCTAAAAAAGTTAAACTCATAGAAGTAAAGAGAGGATGATGGTTACCAGAGGCTGTGGGGGTGGGAATGAGTTGTTGATCAAAGGATGTGAAGTATCCGGTAGACAAGGGGAATAGGTTCTGAGATCTGTTGGACAGCAGGGTGACTACAGTCAATAATAATGAATATTTAGAGAAGCCAGGGAAACGTAGTGAGACCTTGTCTCTACTAAACATCAAAAAAAACTAGCCAGGTATGGTGGTGTGTGCTTGTGATTCCAGCTACTTGGGAGGCTGAGGCTTGAGCCTGGGACGTCAAGGTGACAGTGCGCTGTGATCCTAACAATGCACTCCAGCCTGGGTGACAGAGCTGCCACCTGTCTCAACAAACTAAACCAAGAGTAAATTTCAAATGTCCCACCATAAAAAAAAAAGATAGGCAAATGAAGTGCTAGATGTGTTAATTAGCTTGATGTAATCATTCCACATTGTTGACATATATCGAAACATCACATTGTATCTTATAAATGTATACAATTATAAATCAATCAAAATAATCATAATTTAAAAATTACTAAATGTTGCATAGCTTCTAGTTTAATGTTAACATTATAAACCATATTTGTACCCATTACAAATTGCAGCTATTAAATAATCTTGAAAATCGCATCCCACCTTTAATGATTTGAAACATGGGACAGTGCAAAGGGCACCTGAATACATGTCGTAGTACTTAGGTTCTTGGCTCTTTCACTACACAGTCACATGATCATGGGCAACCTCTTTAACCTTGATGGCAGTCCATGAGAAAACATGTACAAGTACCTAGTCCAATGCTTGGCATATGATATAGGCACTCAACATCTGTTAAAATTGAAGTTTAACTCATATTAAATAATTTCTATTTTTTAGAAGTTACATACTAAGTTGTAGTATCCTCTTATTTGACATGTAGATCTGGAAATATTCATTTCATCCAAATGAGACTAAGCAAAATGATGTATTATCTGAAAACACTGAATCAAATGGAATAGTATAGTGCTCTTTTTTTTAACCCGCAGATCACAGGCAAATTATAGATTGAAACCACGATATCTTTTTAATAGAAAAATGCCACAGCAATTTAATCAAAGTCTAAGCAAGGACTTTGCCTGCTGCCACAAATACCATGACAAACTGTGGCATTATGAGAAGCAATTAATGAAGAGGATATGATAAATAAAACATGAGTTGGCCAGAATATTTTTACTGATGTCTTCTCATTTGATTTCCTGGTATAAGATGGTCAGTTTATCACACCTATAATCCTAGCACTTTGGGAGGCCAAGGTGGGCAGATCGCCTGAGGTCAGGAGTTCGAGACTAGCCTGACCAACATGGAGAAACCCCATCTCTACTAAAAATACAAAATTAGCCAGGCGTGGTGGCGGGCGCCTGTAATCCCAGCTACTCGGGAGGTTGTAGCAGGAGAATCACTTGAACTCGGGAGCGGGAGGTTGCGGTAAGTCGAGATCATGCCATTGCACTCCAGCCTGGGCAACAAGAGCAAAACTCCATCGCTAAAAAACAAACAAACAAAAACAGATAGTCAATTTAACTATCAACTTAATTGAAAAGCCAATGACTGTAACAATTAAAATTTTGGTCAATAAAATTCAATTATTTGTGACTTCATATGTGAAGGATTTCATCTGCTACTAACAGAAGTATAAAGACAAAAAGAAGTATCAGTTGTAAATGGTCAGTTCATTTGTCAAAACACATTATCTAGTATGGTATTTTCGAATTTATAACTTGTAACATTTTAATCCAACTACAAATTACACTTGAACCACATTTTTAAAAATAAAGATAATCAAGAATGATGAAGTAAAAACCACTCAAGTTCAACTGCTGGATCTGGGATGTAAAATAAGTGACAAAACAGAGAAAGGTGTTGAGTTTTTAAACAGCAAATTTTGACTTTATTCAAATCACATTTTAAAATTATTTTTGTACTTGGTTTTTGTATTGTTCTTTTGTTTATTTCAAACAACAGCCAACATCATACAAATCACATTCTAAAAAGAAAAAAGAAAGTATAAAAGATTATAATGAAGTTAATTTAATATGTGCATTTATCAAATGTGTCAATGGTATTCTTGAAATAAAGGCATAAAATCTTCAAAATTAAAAAAGCTATTTGGACACAAGCAGCTGAACTTACTGACAAAGGAAAAAAATACATTCAAGTTCCCAGACTAATTTCTTAGTTATTGCACTATTGTTAGTGATAAAGCCTTATTATCATCATTAAAGCATATTGTGAGACAGAAAACAACTCATGTATTTTCTTCTAATATGTCTGGATATGGTATGTACAACTTTAAATCTCAGCTAATTAATTAAAAACTATCCAGAGTGACAACACAGTAGCTTATTTACTTTTTACCACTGCCGAACATTTGGAAGCAATATTTACTATAAGTCTGTACAGACTTCATAATCCACCTCGTTGAAAATAAGCTGCATAACACTTGTAGAGAAATGTAGGAAGATCCGTTAGTACAGGATACACCATGTTGTTTAAATATAACCTCAGACACAACTGAATTAGATATACAGTTAAGTATTTGTTACTTAACAACAGGATACATTTTGAGAAATGTGTCATTAGGCGATTGTCACTGCCCAAACATCTGAGCATACTTACACAAACCCAGATGGTATAGCCTACTACATACTTTGGCTATAAATACAGCCTCTTGCTCCTGGGCTACAAACCAGTACAGCATGTCACTTTACTGTAGGCAATTGTAACACGATGGTTAAGTATTTCTGTATCTAAATGTATTCAAAACTAGGAAAGGTACAGTAAAAATACAGTATTACTTCATGGGACCACCATCATATACGCAGTGTTTTAACAGAATGTCATTATATATCAGACTACAGAAATGTATTTTCACGAATAGAATATCTATTGCTAGATAACATAAATTTTTTAAAATGTTGTGCTACTGCATTCCAGCCTGGGCAACAGAGACCTTATCTCAAAAAAAAAAAAAAAAAAAAAAAAGCTTTATGATAAAAAATTTCAAACATAAAAGCAGAAAGAATAATAAATACTCCCCTTTTACCCAATACCTGGCATCAATGATCATCAGCCCACAGAAAATATAACAAAACTCTGGCATCCAAAGACAGTCTGCTGATTTTACATTATGAAAAGTTATTTTTATTAAATACTCAATACTCCTTGGTCAGTACTTGTTTTCTTATTGAAAAGCAATTACTATTTGGCAAACATTTTCGAAGACAATACCTAAGTAATAATACCACATATTTTACTGATATTTTCAGCATTTTTTATGAACTATATTTATAATTACAGGGATTTCAACATTCCAACTTATCCAAGGGTTCCAAAAGACATTATTGTTAAAGGCAGTAATCACCCTAGGTACTACATGCTCCCAAAATTTTGCAACATATAGAAATGGATATTATTATAGAAATTTTGAAATAAAATAAAATCAGAGCTACTGTATTGTTATATCTCACTTCCTGACTCAAGCTTATACAAGCTTTATGGAGGTGTACTTGAAATGAATTGCACATGCGTATCAACAGTTCATTCCTTTTCATTGCTGAGTAGTAGTCTCATATGTGTTCCATTGTATTCCAGTTTATTCACTTGATAGGCACTTTGGTTGTTTCTAAATTTTGGTCATTACAAATAGAGCTACAATGGACATTTGTCTTTGCATGAACAAATATTTCATTTTCTCTTGGGTAAGTACCTAAAGGTAGAATGGCTAGATCATATATATGATAGATGCATGTTTAACTTTACAAGAAACTGTCAAAGTATTTTCCAGTGGTTGCTACGTTTTGCATTCTTCATCTTTGGCAATATTCTTTGCTCTAGAATCTGCTTTGTCTAATAATACAGACATTCCAGCTTTAATTGGTGTTACCACAGTATCTTTTTTCAACCTTTTAACCTATTTGGGTCTTTACGTTTAAAGTGTGTGCCTTATAAGAGGCATAAAATTGGATCTTGTTTTATCCAATGCAACAACCTCTAGCTTTTAACTGGGATGCATATATAGCCAGTGGTTCTCAACTGAAGGCAGTTGTATGTCCCCTGCCCCTTTTCCCCCTCCCCCCACAAAAGAAACAGTGGGCAACATCAGGAGTTATTTTTGGTTTTCTTTTATAACCCTTGAAAAAAGGAAAAAAAAAAAAAAAAACTTTCTTAGCCTGCAGGCAGTCAAATAGCAGCTTGCAGACCATGGGTTGCTGGTCCCTAGTGTATTTCTACCTGACTTACTTAACTTCCTTTAACATTTCTTGTACTACACATCTACTGATGAATCCTTTCAGCTCTTGTCTGAAAAAGTATGCTGCTTTTTTATTTCAAAGATATTTTCTCTGGGCATAGACTTTTTTTTTTTTTTTGAGATCAAGTCTCCTTCTGTCGCCCAGGCTGGAATGCAGTGGCATGATCTCAGCTCACTATAACCTCTGCCTTCTGGGTTCAAGTGATTCTCCTGCCTCAGCCTCCTGAGTAGCTGGGATTACAGGTGCCTACCACCACACCCAGCTACTTTTTGCATTTTTAGTAGAGATGGGGCTTCTCCATCTTGGCCAGGCTGGTCTCAAACTCCTGACCTCAAGTGATTTGCCAGCCTCAGCCTTCCAAAGTGCTGGGATTACAGGCGTGAGTCACACCTGGCCTGGGCACATAATTTTAGGTTGACAGGGTTTTTCTCTGTTCTGTACTTGAAATATGTTGCTCTACTGGCTTCTCAAATTGTTCCCTTTAAGAAATCTAACTTCTCACCTTTGTAACTATTTCCAAGTCACTTAAAAACAGTACCTTTTTGCCGCTGGTCCATTTAAGATTTTATCTTTATCACTGGTATTAAACAATTTGATTATGGTGTACTCTGGTTTGGGTTTTTGTGTAAGAGACAGGGTCTCTCCACGTTGCCCAGGCTGGTCTCAAACACCCATCCTCAAAGCAATCCTCCTGCCTCAGCCTCTCAAAGTGTTGGAATTACAAGCATGAGCCACCATGCCTGGGTAGTATGGGTTTTTTATGCTTCTTGTGCTTGGAGTTCATATCTTCTTGAATCTGTGGGTTTATGGTTTCTATCAAACTTTTAAGCTATCATTTCTTCAAATACTTTGTATGCTCCCTTCCCCTACTCCCATTACACAGTAGGGTGCTTAAACTTGTGTACAGCTCACTGATAGACTATTTTTTTGGTGTGACTTTGATTTGTTTCTATTGCTATGTCTTCTTCAAACTCATGAATCTTTTCTTCCACAATGTGCAATCTGCCATTAATCCCACACAATATGTTTTACATTTCACACATTGCAGTTTTCATCTCTAGAAGTTGGATTGGCATCTATCTTCCAGGCCCCTACCTAACTTTTTGAACATATGGAATACTGTCTGAATTCTAACATGTCACTTTTTGTCTCATTATGGGTCCTATTTTACTGCTTATTTGCATCCTTGCTAGTTTGGAGATGACACTGTAGATTTTACCTTTCTAGGTGCTGGATGTTTTTGTATCCCTATAAATCTTGAGGTTTGTTCTAGAATTCAGTTAAGCTCCTTAGAAATAGTTTGATGCTTTCAGGCCTTGCTTTAAACGCTTGTTAGGCAGAACAGGGACAGTGTTCAGGCTAGGGCTGTTTCCCACAACTGAGGCAAGACCCATTGTATGTACTCTACCCAATGCTCCATGAATGAGGCTTTCCAGTCTGTCTTGTGGAAACAGCCAATATTCCCAGCTGTCTCTGAACACAACACAATTATAGTCATGTGTTGCTTAATGACAGAGTATGTTCTGAGGAATGCACCTTTAGGTAATTTCATCATTATGTAACCGTGATAGAGTACTTACACAAACCCGGATGGCACAGCCTACTACACACCTAGGCTATATGGCACTGCCTATAGCTTCTAGGCTACAAACCTGTACAGCATTCAGTTACCATACTGAATTTGTCACACATGGTATTTTTGTATCTAAACATACAAAAGGTATAGTAAAAATACAGTATGAAAGATAAAATGGTATACCTGTAAAGGGCACTTACCATGACTGGAGCTTGCAGGACTAGAAGTTGTTCCGGGTAAGTCAGTGAGTGGTGAGTGAATATGAAGGTCTAGGACATTATTATAATAACACTACTGTAGACTTTATAAACACTGCACACTTAGGCTTAAACACATTAAATTTATTTTTAAAATGTTTTTCTTCAATAGTAAATTTTTATTTTATAAACTCAAAAAATTTTTTTTAACTTTTTGACTCTCTTGTAATAACATTTAGCTTAAAATACATGTTGTACAGCTGTATAAAAATATTTTTTATATCCTTATTTTATAAACTGTATTTAAAACTTTATTTTTACGAGACACAAATACATACACATTAGCCTAGACTTACACAGGGTCACAATCAACAATATCACTGTCTTCCACTTCCAGATTTTGTCCCATGGGAAGGTCTTCAAGGGCAGTAACATGCACAAAGCTGTCATCTATGATAACAATGCCTTTGTCTGTAATACTTTGAAGGATCTGCCTGAAGTTGTTTTACGGTAAACTTCTGAAAAAATATATAAGTAGAAAAAGTATACTCTAAAATAACAATAGGGCAGGTGCAATGGCTCACACCTGTAACCCCAGCACTTTGGGAGGCCAAGGTAGCCAGATCACTTGAGCCCACAAGTTTGAAACCAGCCTGGACAACAAGGCAAAATCCCATCTCTACAAAAAATACAAAAAATTAGCCGGGCATGGTGGCACGTGCCTGTAGTCCCAGCTACTTGGGAGGCTGAGGTGGGGGATCACCAGAGCCCAGAAGGTTGAGGCTACAGTGAGCCAAGATTGCACTACTGTACTACACCCTGGGCAACAGAGTGAGACCTAATCTAAAAAATAAAAAAATAAAAAAAAAGATAAAATAAGAATATTATCAGCAAGACAGTAGACCAGCATCACCACAGACATATAAGACATCATGATTGAGATCTATGACATCACTAGGTAGGTGGTAGGAATTTTCCAGCCCCATTATAATCTTATGCAGTCCATCATTGAACAAAATGTCTTTATGTGATCCAAGACTGTACTGCAATATTTTTGGATGATCCTTTCCTTGGCCTCAGGTCATTTCCTCACATGCAGTGGTCAATACTTACCTGAAGAATCAGGACAGATTCATTCCAGACCACAAAAATTCTCTCTCTATGCAGCTTTCTCGCTTCTAGCAAACTCTGGCTGCATTGGTCTCACCAGGCTCTGGGCTCTATCAACAGAGGGATTCCACCAGGCTGATATGTTCCTCTCTCCTTGTACTATGGCTTAGAAATTCTCCCAAGGCAATAAACTGAGGCAAACATAGGACTCACTTTGTTTTCTGTTGATCAAGCTTCACTGTCCTTCATTGTCTGATATCCAATATCTTAGAAAACATTGTTTTATATATTTTGTCCATTTTTTATTGTTTCTGGCCTGTCTCAAACTTTTAACCATTACATGCCAGAACAAAAATTGATGCATTCAAGAAAAAAACTGGATAGATTTGTTTTCCACCACTCTGAATCAAAAACTGATTTATACTTGGTGCCTGAAGAATAGGAAATATTATAGCTTACTTCTTTGTAAATATTAAAGAATGATTATGAAACATCAAATGTATATATATTTTTTAAACTTTCTAGCCCTATGTCATAATGATGTATCATTCTTTTGGAGGAAACAGGATTGTTCATTGCTAAGTAGAATGAATGTAGTAACAAAGAAACAGAGTTAACACTGCACCAGGTATGTGAGAACTGCATTTGAGATCCCAAACTGAAATAAACTTATGAATACATAGCACACTCATCACATTAAATAAAATGTTCCCCAATTTTTATTATATTGTTATTTATCTGGGATTATTTCTCCATTTTACATTTAAAAATTAGTGAAATTACATGTAATCATAACTTTTTTCCTTACAAAATAAAGTTATTCATGAAACTTTCATTTTAATCTTAAAACCTTCTTTTCTCCTTATCAACTCATTTCTTTCATCTTAGAAGATTATCAATGTTATATTTTTTTTGTTTTTTTTGAGACAGAGTCTCGCTCTGTTGCCCAGGCTGGAGTGCAGTGGTGTGATGTTGGCTCACTGCAAGCTCCACCTCCCACGTTCACACTATTCTCCTGCCTTAGGCTCTGGAGTAGCTGGGACTACAGGCGCGTGCCGCTACGCTCAGCTAATTTTCTGTATTTTTAGTAGAGACGGGGTTTCACCATGTTAGCCAGGATGGTCTCGATCTCCTGACCTCATGATCGGTCACCTTGGCCTCCCAAAGTGCTGGGATTACAGGCATGAGCCACCATGCCCGGCCAGTTATGGCTTTTAATGATAAATTAATTTGTCATATACCTACAATCATTGTTTGCACAAATTCCCATCAGTTCACTAGGAATCACGAGAAAAAAAAGCAGTGGGTCTGCCACTACAAAACACTTTATGCATCAAACAGATGAAGCAACGGTAAGGTATTTCTGTGATGTGTAACCAGGCTTGTAGAAGACTTTTCCACATCATTGATTTTTTATGTTAAGTCACATAACTTATAGAGGAAAGCTACCTCCCTCTAGTTTTCACTTCCTATATTTTGTTCCATAACTCATTTTCTTCAAATTAAGATTAATTTACACTTAACATTTATAAGACAAGTAGAAATTAACATGGGAAGCAAAGCATACTAGTATATAAAAATGAGGTGAATAAGTACCACAAATAAAAATTATTTAGAACTAAATGACCAACTACTATTATAGTCTATAAAGATTTTCTTGCATTGTTCCTATCCTGGATTTACCAGGCTTCAGTCTTAGATCCTATCTAACCCCTCTAACTATTGCTTTCAAACTTAAGCCTCAGCTACCACACAGGCAGTGCAAAAACAGAACCACTCAAGGAGATGAACCTTCACTATGTCTTAACTTCTCAGTCACAAAACTCCTATTCTGTTTTTTGTTTGTTTGTTTGTTTGTTTTTGAGGTGGAGTTTTGCTGTTGCTGCCCAAGCTGGAGTGCAATGGCGCCATCTCGGCTCACTGCAACCTCTGCCTCCCAGGTTCAAGCAATTCTCCTGCCTCAGGCTACCAAGTAGCTGGGATTACCGGCGCCCACCACCACGCCCCGATAATTTTTTGTATTTTTAGTAGAAATGGGGTTTCACCATGTTAACCAAGCTAGTCTCAAACTTCTGACCTCAGATGATCCGCCTGCCTCAGCCTCCCAAAGTGCTGGGATTACAGGCGTGAGCCACCACACCCGGCCAAAACTCTTGTTCTAGTTGAATAGGCAGAAATGCTATTCTGACTACATCAAACAGAATTCTTTCTGATCCGCAGATATCAAAGGTTTATGAGACAAAATTTTAAAAGGGGCAAAAGGTGAAAAAGAGCCCTACTTTTACTATTAAATTAGCTGTCTGACCTTTGGCAAATACTTAACTTTATGGACCTTAGTTTCTCCATCTAAAACCAGAAAGGAAGTTAGAGGAGATATGACTATAGCAGAACACGGCTTATGGAAATTATGCATTATTGCTCTATAATCCTTAATCCATATATATTAGGACACTGTTTCGAAAATATTGAAGCCTTTAACCTCCTGATATGATGCAATAGGATGCTTATAAACTACCACATAAGAAGTATTTTTGCCCTTGTGCCCAAGTAGTCAAACCTGAACCTAATCAAGCATCTAAATTTTACTATTAGTTTACAGAAAATAAACATGAGAGAATAGGTTGAATGATTGTATGAGGATGGAAACAGCCAGATCCTGAATATGGGAAATTCAATCAGACAAATGACCTAACCTCTACAACAAATAAATGTCAACAAAAAAAGGGGGGACTGTTATATATTGAGACAAAGATATATCAATAAAATGAAATATGTGGACATAGTTTAGCTTCTAATTCAAAGAAACAAGTGCAAAAACATTTTTTGGCAATAATTATAAAAATCCTAACACTCAATATTAGATATTAGATAAAAATGTTACAGTGTCATACATTTCCTTCAAAATAGTTCTGGCTGACAGAAGGGTAGAGTGCGTGTATATGTGAATGAGTATTATGGTAGGGGGAAGGGGGGGACTTGATAATGGTTGGAGCTAGGTGTTGGGTTGTTGGGTTCATTATACAATTCTTTACTTTTGTGTATATTAAAGTATGATTTTCAATTCTATTAAGTACACATTACCTAATTAATATATCACTAGTCCATGTTAAAGAAATGAAATTCTCGAAGCTAAGAACAAAATCTTAAGAAAACAAAAAGACAAAAAAAGTAGTCACTAACAGCCCAGTATAATTATCTAACAAATGATATGTTCTATATTTATTAACAAAATAAACCACTGAAAGCATACATGCAATACAACTCCATTTATATTAAGGTCAAAAAGAGGCTTATTTCGGATATACCGCTAGACAGCCTTAAAACTATAATAAACTCTGAAGACAAGCAAGGTAATAGATAACATGAAATTCAAGATGATGGTTTCCCCTGGGAAGGAGGGGAAATATATTCACAAAGGAACACAAGAGGTTTAAAAGATACCTTTATGTTATGTTTCTTAATTTGGATGCTGGGTATATATGTTCATCTTACTACTCTTCTGTGGTATAATAAAAAAATATATTTATTCTTTGTCCTTGGTTCCTGGAAGAAAGCTCCTAAAACCCTTATAATTTCCTGATAGGAGGTGTCTTTTATACTTCATAATGTATCCCTTTCAGTTATACCTGAGTTTATGTTAATGAGATGACTCATAAGGTTTGGGAGATAGAGAGGGACCCTAGGTATCTTCAGGATGGAGGCTGGTTACCAGAAAAACCAACTAGGTATTTATAGGACTGAAACTTTTAGCCCATCTCACTATCTCTGACAAGGAGAGAAGAACTGGAGACTGAGTTCAAATAAGTGACTAGTGATTAATAATTAACGAATCATGTCTGATCAATGAAACCTCATATAAAAACTTTGAAACCATCTGGCTTAAGGGGCTTCCAAACACATTAATGTGCTGGGAGGGTGGCACACACAAAGAGGACATGAAAGTTTTGCATCCTCTGTCCCCCATACCTTCCCCGATGTGTCTCTTCCATTTGGCTGTTCTCGAGTTGTATCCTTTACACAAAAACTGTAGTAGTAAAATAGTGCTTTCTTAAGTTCTGTGAGTCATTCTAGCAAATTATCAAACCTGGGGGGTAGGTCATGGGAATGCCCAAATATGGGGTCAGCCTGGAAGAAGTCCAAGTAGGTTGGGAATATCTGAGACTTGTGGCTGGGCATGTGAAATGCAGTCATTTAGGCATGAGGCAGTCTTGTGGCACTGAGCACTTAACCTGTGGCATCTGTGCTAACTTCAGGCAATTAGTATCAAAATTGAATTGCATTGTAGGACATCCAGCTGGTGTCAGGGAATTGCTATTGGAATGATGTATCATTAAATGGGTAGGTGGGTGTGTTTCATACATACTTTCTTTTCTCATAAATGACATATTTAATAGGAATAATTCAACTACTGTGAATTTAAAAATCAAACAAAAAACTATGAAGTTGCACATACTTTTTAACTTATGGGACAAGTCATTATTCATAGGTCTTAAGTCTCAAAAGAGGCAGGATTGCCTGGATTCTCTCATTTGCAATTTTATCTTTCAATCTAATAAGAATGGCTTCATTAATTTTTTACACAAAACATTATCAATCTGGGCATTTTCTGGCTTATTTCCCAATAACTTACTCAGAATTTGGCACATCAAAAACTTCACTGCTGTTTACCACAGTACTGAAACAAAAACAAACGAAAACTTATTCCCAAGTGGCATTATAACAATTGCTTGATTTTCCCCAAGTTCAGAATGAAGACTTTAATAACTCAAAAGGGGCTACAATTCATGCAAACTAAGAAAAGCTACAATGCTACTTTCATGCATAGGTATACTAAATACACATTTATATAGTCTCAAAATAGTCCTTGTCTGAAATATTTGCTAAATAACAAGAATGCAACAACTTTTTGACCAAAAAAATGATCTTTTGCATTCCTTCCCAGGTAGGGCATTAATTTATTTACCTAAAATTGGTTTCTTATAATTTTATTTTAAATGTAAGCTACTATTACCTAACAAATCAGCTTTTAATTATAATCTTATTTTAGCCTACAGAAAAATATGTATAAGGTCCTTTTGTTTGAAATGTCACTGTCTTCATTTTTCTCTTTATCCTCCTTCTGTTTGGTGAAATGACATAACAAACTGCTGCAAATTCTGTTTCTCACTCTACTGTTGGTTCATATTTGCAGATCATCATAGCTTAATTGATACAATGAACAAATGCCTCTTAAAAAACTGTTTTACTGGCCAGCAGAAATAAAAAACAAACCCTTCACAAATTACACTGATAAAAGTCTCTGTCCCTAACACTATCATAACTCTCAAGAATCTTAACAATTTCACTCTCACCAGGCTGGAGTGCAGTGGCGTGATTTCGGCTCACTGCAACCTCTGCCTCCTGGGTTCAAGCGATTCTCCTGCCTCAGCCTCCTGAGTAGCTGGAACCACATCCAGCTAATTTTTGTATTTTTAGTAGAGACAGGGTTTCACCATGTTGGTCAGGATCTCCTGATCTCATGATCTGCCCGCTTCAGCCTCTCAAAGTGCTAGGATTACAGGCGTGAGCTACCGTGCCGGGCTAAAATCTCTACTTTTTAATAATTATTAATTATCCATCCAGTAGAAAAAACTGAGAAAACTAAACCTGGGTAATATTTACCCAAGTCTCTTGTTTTCGAATTGCTTCTGTCATGGAGCAAGGTGGCACAGATTTTGATCACAAGAGATTTTGATTTTTCTAAACATCCTTGAATCTATCTGGAGAAATGTGCTACAGGTACAGTTCAGGAACAACAAAAAAAAAGAAAAAACCCAACACCCAATGGTCCCAATTCAACACTGCTTTTTAAAATTAAGCTATCACACAACGATTTGTTTTTGTTAAACATTTTATCATTCTAACTCATATTCCCAAACTTTTCAGGATTTTACTTATCTATCAAAAAATCCCAATTATATTCCTGTTCTTTCCAATCCTACACCCCCGCCCCCCCCCCAAAAAAAAGCAAAACCTCTCATTCTCTGCTGATAGGAATGTAGAACAGATCACTCCATGAAGGGCAATTGTAAATATCTATCATATTTGCAAACACATTTCCTCTTGGATCCAGCAATTCTTTAATTCTTTTCAGAATCTGACAGTTACCCCTGCAAATGTAGAAATGACATGTATTCACTGAACAATTGTTTCTAATATCTAAAGACTGGAAACAACGTCGAGTGTCGTCCACCTATGTGTGATTTACTGTATAAACTGGAGTATATCTACAAAATGGAGTATGTGACAGAAAAAATAAGTTTAATTGAATACTGATGAGGAATATCCAGAATATACAGTAAAACGGGGAAAACAAACAAAACAACCATGAACAATGCAGAAAATATTGAAGGACAGACCCAGCGAAACGAGACTGTATATTCTCATCTGCTTGTATCTCTGCATGAAGACCGGAAGGATAAATAAGAAACTAATTTAAAATGATTACCCGTTGAAGACTATTAGGAATGGTACTGTACAGGGACTAGGAAGTGTTTCTCGCTGCATTTCTTTTCACGTAGTTTGAGCCATGTAAAATAAATATTCGCTAATCTTTTGATTAAAAGCTTTAAAAATCCAGTGGGAGAGGCTGGGTGTGGTGGCTCACCCCTGTAATCCCAGCACTTTGGGAGGCCCAGGCGGATGGATCACCTGAAGTCAGAAGTTCGAAACCAGCCTGGCCAACATGGTGAAACCTCGTCTCTACTAAAAATACGAAAATCAGCCGGGCGTGGTGGCGGGCACCTGTAATCCCAGCCACTTGGGAGGCTGAGGCAGGAGAATCGCTTGAACTGGGAGGCGGAGGTTGCAGTGAGCCGAGGTTGTGCCACTACACTCCAGCCTGGGCGAGAGTGAGACTCCGTCTCAAAAAAAAAAAAAATCCAGTGGGAGAATCAAAATTTTTTAAAAATTTGACTGTGTAATCCTACAAGAAGTAAGTAGCTTGAGGAAGAGAAATGCTGATAAAGTCGCATTAAGTTTCAGAGTTGAAATTCAAGCTTCGGTATCTAACATTTGTTTCCCTGTTTCTTTAAGGTAGAATTACAAAAAAACCATATATATGACATACATATGTCAAACCAAAAAATAAAGTATATATTGTAAATATATAAGTATATATATTCTCCTTTATATATGTATTTTTTTGTTTCATATATATACACACACACATATATATATAAACCAGAAAAATACTTGGTTTGTGACAAAGATGCACTTATTTGCACGAACCTATCTTGTTAATGACCAAGAAATGTGCTTTGTTACAATCATTAGAGGACAGAAATATACATACATATTTACATCTATGTAATGAAATGCAGGTTTATCTTAAAAAACCAATGACCTGCTAACTGAAAGAGTCGCACACTAATACTATCATTATTAAACACAATGCTATTCTCTAAAGAAGTAAATAGGTGAAATGATATCAAAGTTCAAAATTCTCTAACTCTTCCGCAAAGACTGTGAAAATCACCTTGGAGTGTATGAACCAGCGTCCTGGCCCCGCCGGCTCCGGGCTGGGGCGTGCGCGGGCCGGGAGCGCTTACCCCGCGGCAGGAGCGATTCACCACCAGCTTCGCCTGGTTGTGGTGCGGCTGCTGCGCCAGCCGAAAGGCCTCCTTAATCCGCAGCAGTCTCTTTTCGCTCCCATGGCTCTGGGACTCTGTCCGGACAAGCCCTGTCCGCGTTCCGCTACAGCCGACCCGCCCACCAATCCAGAGGCAGAGCTCTCCGCGGCGTCTCCTCAGGCTTCTTGTCAGAGGGCCCCAGGCTCCCAGGGAGTCGTTACCGCTCAGGCATTCAAATAACTCCCGCGAGAGGAGGAAATCCCGCGAGACTGCCGGCATTGCGTAGGGAAGTGGAAAAGTAGAGCCTGCACCGCCGGCTCTCTGGACTCCCGGACACCGCCGCGGTCTCACGCATGCGCAGAGGGCCTATCCAGGTCTTTCTGGCTGGAATGTGGAATTTGTGAGGTAAGCCGGAAGTGGTGTTGCGCAGGGAATTGTGGGGAGAGTTGAGGTGTACCTCCGCTGCAGAGACCTGAGGTTTGCGGCGCTGGGCCTGGCTGGGTTGCTGCGTAGGGGCCGGAGGTGAGGCGAAAAGAAGGACAACCTCTGATGGGAGTGGACCGGAGTCCGCTAAAGCGAAACATTCCAGGGTTCGTTGCGGGGAAATATAGTCTGGTTTTGTCCCCCGTATGAATTGAGGGAAGGTGAGAGCAGCAGCAATCCGGGCCTGAAGGGTGATTATGCTAGGGTCGGCCGAGGGGTTCAGGCCAAAGTTCTTTGAAATCCTAGTTGGATACCTGGAGGACGAGAAAACCGGTCAGGAGTCCCCTGGGAAGAGGGTCATGTTTTAATCTAGCTAAAGCTGGTACCTGGTAGTTTCCACTCTTAAGCCTAGTGTACTAACTAATGTGTGCGCAATATCAAAACAGGAAACAAAGGGAAATGCAAGAGATGGAAGGTAATTTTAAGTTAGTGGCTGTATGACAGTTTCGCAGTGCCTTCAGGAAGGTATCCAGCCTTATAAATCCTTTTTTAAAATAGACGATTTCAGACAGACAAAAGGTAGAAACGAAACTGTAATACATTTGTACTCACCACTGAATTGGAGAAATAAATGATTATATTAAGTAATTGAAGTCCTTTGTCAGCTCTACCCCATCTCATTCTCTTCCCTTTTGCCCAAGGAAACCACTCTCCCAACCACCTTTCTGCAATCAGTAATGTGTACATCTTTTTGCAGCTAGCTTGTTTTACATAATGTTTTTGAGATTTGTCAGTGTTGTATAACTCCACCTCATTCATCTTAATAGCTGAACGGATATTCTATTATTTTAATATATCACTGTTAAGTATCTCCAGTGCCTGACATACTTTAGGACTGTAGGTAGCTAAATGTTAGTTGAATGTATGACTGCTGTAGCATTTGAACTAAGTAAAAAATAATAAATAGGACTTCATATGACCCAACAAGAGTATTCCAGGCAAAGGGAATAGTAGCCAAAAGCAGAGACATGAAAGTACATGAACTATTTCAAGAATGTCCATACTTTTAGTACTGAAATGTGGAATGTATGGAGATCATGTGATGAAGGAGAAACCTGGAAAGATGAGGCTTAACCTTAGAGTATACACAAGCTCGGTGCCATTAAATGCTTTTCCAGTTATGAAGAAGCTGGTTAGAGCTGTATTTTCAGAAGATGATACTCACAGCACACTAGAGATATATCTTAGGATATAAAAGATTAGTGACAGGGAATTTTAGACTATCAAGCATTATAACAACAATCATTGCATTAAGCAAGTAACACAACCAGCCAGACTAAAAATCCTAAAACATTCTCCTAGTCCATCATATTATCACATTCCTAAACAATTATTAATATTTCATATTTTCTTCTGACAAACTTGCAACATTTTCTACTTGGGCCTCTCGCTTAGATGATACCTCGCATCCTATTCAGTTAAAAAAGAACTTCCCCATGCTTTCATCACCACATCTACGAGATCTGTTCCCTAATATACTGCCACTGCTATTACTGTAGGTGAACTGTCTGATTTAGGAGGGAGAGTAAACTCTTTAAAAGTAACTTTTTAATACAATAGTGACTGAACTAGTGTTATAAACTTTCAAGGGGGCATTGAAACATGAAAAGTAAGAATATGAAAGAATGGAATGGTTAAAAGACAATTGCTTCTAAGAGAATAATGATCCATATATAGAGTAATGTAAAAATAAGATACTTTTTTAATGTATGTTTCTTTTTTTCAGGTAGATTTAGGTTCTAAGCTTTAAAAGCTAAATCTAAATTTACATGTATGTTTTTATAGGATCTTTGTTTCTACTGTTTCTTAACATAAGCAGTTTATTATGAAATAGAATCTTCGACAATCCTATTTTAAATAATATGTTGTATTAGCCTTTGTCTTACATATTTCCAAATTGTCCAGATATAGTTGGATAGCTTATTTGTTACTGACTGTGATAAAAATAGAATGTACATTGTATAGTTTACTACAGGTGTCATTAATTTTCTTATTATTTCAAATACATTGAGTAACTACCATACAGCAAGCACTATTCTAGGAACAAGTAGATAAGATTTATTAGTGGAAAATCACTAACCTGAAACCAATCATATGACCATGTTAATGCACCTTGGTGTATGGGAAACTTTCAACTACAAATATTTGATTACTTTAATTGTAATTCTTAAGGGAGGCTAAATAGATGGATAGCTGAATAAAGTTATTACTTGGAAATGTTGCCATGTAGCCACAGGAGCCAATTTCAGTGCACACATCTTAAGCATCAGTGTACACATTTATAGGTCTTTGGTGTTTTTGACCAGCAGAACCCACCTGTATTATGGAATCACACTGGTGTACTTGATCGTGTTCGGGTATGAACATGCTCTGATTTACATTGAGTACTAATTGAGAATGTCTATTTAAATTAAAGTTCCGGAACTTATGGTTAGGCCAGAACCTCAGGTTTGAACTTCTCCCCTAAAATTCCTCTGGCTTCTCATTAAAGCTGCTTTCAGAGATGTAAGTAAAGAAAGTCAAACAAAAGACTTTGTAGCACGTTTTGTTTAGCATGTTTTGTTTAGCACTGTTTTTCTTGAGCTATATATGATAAATATCTAGGGAGAGGTGGCAGAAGGACAAAATTGTAGTCGTTTGAAGTTTCTTGGGGGAAAGTTGAAGCATTAAAACATGTTAGCATCGTTATATGAACTTTTAACTATGGAAGGAAGAGTCAATATTCCCTTTCAGGCAGGTGTTTATCTGGTTTAGACTGCCTCAAGGCTGTGTATTGCCCTTCAACTTTTCTTATGCATTAAAAAGAGGTCTACATGCATTTGCCTTCAGCAGTGTAGTTCTAATCTAATATATTGATGACCACCCACTGTGCTGGGACATCCAAGACATATGTACCATAAACTCTTTAGTCCTCCTATTGTCCTTGGCAGAGGACATAAAACCTAATAAGAAAATCTTTGTCCCTTTCCAGCCAAGGTTAAGAATTTGTAACATGTCATCTTTCAAGGAAGCATCTAACCAAGATTAAGTCAAAGGCATCTACCAGGTCCTGAATTCTCTCCCAGATGCACACCTTTTAAGGTACAATCAGGTACCATATGTAATAAATCTCTAGCTATTTAACCATCATTAAAGCATTTAGGACTTTGATTTCCTAGAAGAACTCATGGTCCACAAAATAATTGTGTTAAAAGGTAAAAAACCTGATCAGGAAAAAGAGGTTTAGGGCCAAACTATACAACTTTGTAACTAGACCAATAACACAAAATAACAGTGTTTTTAAATGTACCCAGGATTTATTTTAATCAGATATGGTAAGATATGCAGATGTGAAAATGATTATCATGAAAGAAGAAATTTTTATACTCCTGGATCCCTAGAAACAGGAAGCATAGCACCTTACACCATGCAAGGGTGCCATACCTGGAAGCAGCAGGGTCAGTGGGGAGAGGAAGTACAAGGAAGCTGCAGGAAAGCCTTTATTCGGTTTTCTTAGGAAGGAATGGGCAAAACTGGATAAGCAGGCTTGAACAGGTTTAAAATTGGCTAGTTCAAATTATTTTGGCTGACTTGGGACATAGGGGATATCCCTAGTTGCCTGGTAGCTCGTCCTGGAGTGATTAGGACAGGGCAATATTGGCCAGGAGTATAAGAACCCAAGATGTCTGTTGTGGGGGTGGGGGGGATTCTGGACTGGTTAGTTTGCATAGGAATTAGCTAACCCTGGGAGAGGTAGTACCTCTGCAGTCATCGAGGAACCACCTAGATACCAGATCATTAACAATACAAAGATAAGAAAATACAATTAATGTAAACAGTCATAATAAACATACAGTATTAACACAGGTAAGACATGTTGAATTTTTAATAAATAAACACTACAGTAAATGTAAGACTGCACCCCTCCCAAAAAATTTGAGGTAATTTGATGGAAAACTATATAAGGAAAAGTTGAAACTACTGTTATGGTCATAAGACTGAAATATACTATGATCCAAGAGAGCAGTGTATCACTACCAAGGCAGGCATGACCAAGATAGGTGCAGCCAAGCAAAAAGGAAGTATGTATGGCGAATAAGCTATAGTCCTTCATGGCTTGCGGTATTCTGTGTTGCTAATATACTTTCCAACTCCTGATGCCAACTTCTGGGTTTTACTGTTACTGTTTTTCTATTTACTAATCTCGAAGTGGTTTGCCTTACAGAAATAGGCCTAAGCCAATATAAGATTGTGATAAAGAGAGCTATAGACTTTTTGCCTCACCATCCATGATCTCGGATATCATAAAGGCCCCCATAGCTGGCAGTAATATTACTTTGTACAGTGATTCTTTAATGTCTTATCTCTGGTCTTATTCCCAGGTCAAGGATGCATTCCAGGAAAGTTCCATAAAAATATACCATCAGCTCCAACCCGATATTTGACCTAGCCATGGAAAACCTCATTGGCTCCTCACTAGATCAGACCATAAAAATGATTCAGGAATGAAAATCTAAGATAAATTCCCACCACTTCAAGATGTTCTTATACAAGTCAACAGTCTAGCAGATCCGCTAGTCTCTTTCATCATCAAGCAGACATACTCAAGGTACCAACACAGCAAAGGCACAAAATGTCTCTATATCAGTGTTTTTCACAGTATATGTGAGACCCATTAGTGAGGCATGAAATCAATTCTGTGAGTCACAATGAACTTGTTTTAAAAAAAACAAAATAAAATGTAAAATACCAAAGTGTTTTGCATGAATCCTTTGCCTGAATTGTGCACATTACAAGGAATGCTGAGTTCAATTTCAATATGTGAGAGG